TCGTGATCGTAAAATATTCAATTTAATTTAAGTAATTTTTTTTATTTCTATTAATCATTTTTGTTTTTGTTTACAAATTGTTTTTCTGTACTACTTTTTCTATAATATTTTTTTTTTTCTAAATGTGTAATAATTATATTTAAGTATATTTCAGCGCATAAATAACGTGTTTAGTACGACATTTTTTGTAGTTGTTTTTGGATTGCGGTCATATCATTTGAATAAATGATATGACCCTTCGCTAGCGGCCGTCGGTTTCAATGCCAAATCTACAGATAGATTTGTAACACGTTTATCGTCATTGTGGATGGACTCGTGTCTAGAGTTAGAAAAACGGCGGGAAGCTTATAAAAAATATATCGAGAAGTTGATTTACCATCGACCCTGAGGGAAAAAGCCATTTCCTTTGAAGAAATGTTAGAAAAAAATTTACAGTACAAGTAAGGGGAAAATTCCGAAATATAGAAAAGTTTATAATTAAGGTAAATTTAGGTAATTACCTACAAGTTTTCGCGATACCTATAAATTTACCCATATCTTTTTATCGTATTGACTCAGGACCTATATTTTTTTCCCCAAATAGAGACTATAGACCTTAGTATCTGGTATAAATTTCAACTTACAAGGTCCACCCGTTCCTGAGAAAATCGGTGGTTAAAAAAAAACAGACAGACTTTTAAGGTACGGAACCCTTAAAATTAACAACGTTTAGTAAATGTACTTTATTTTGTGTCAGCTATTTTCATTGGTATCTTCATGTTTTTTAGCTCAGAAATATACCCAAAAACTATTTTTCTTGTAATCTTCACAAAATTATGGGTTGTGTAAATAATCTAGAAACTGAAACAACGAAACCTAGTTCAAAATCTTGCTCTTAACGAGAAAAAAACTGATGTTATGAAGAGACCGCAAATCATAAAGTTGTAATTTTATTGACAGAATAAATGTTATTAGAATCGTATCGAATTGCAGCAAAAATTTAACAGCCTATAGGCGGCAAATTCGTAAATCCGCCACTAGGTGTGAGCATTCTCGGCACCTAGTGCGCTGACCTTTGACATCCTAAGATCAATGTGGAGAATTTTCAAAATGGTACCACATGGTTTCCCACCATTTCTGCTAAATGCTTCTTCTTCATACGAGTATCTTCTAGAACAATTATTTTTCACTTTTTCGAGTCTTTCATCGTCTTCAATTGAATCTCTGTGTTACTAAAATAGGCCATGCCATTTTTAAATCATGTACAAGAGTTCCCGTAATCAGATGACAGCTCTTCAATTAACTATCCTCATTTATGACCTGCGGCGTTTTTCACAGATTAATGGGTACTTTACGACAGTGCGAAACTCAATTTTATGTAGGTAACGTTTACATTTTCTTCCCGATTGACTTGTAGATTTGGTGATAACTCGAACAAGACTCAACCAGATTTAGTTAAAACTTCGTATTTATAATGAAATTGAGCCACCTCTGATGTGACTACCTTTAAACAAACTTTTCATCAAGAAATAATTTTCTCTTAAGTATAGGTATATAATAATTCTATAATTATACTGACAAATACATAACTGATGTACGTCGTTTAACAACACAAAAAGCCAAACAATACTTCCAATAAAAGTGGAGAAAAAGTTGGAGAAAAACCACGAACATTTAAATAGATATTTTTTTAGTTTATTAGATAAATGGATAAAAATATGCAGCATTACCAAGATTAGAACCGGAAATATTCATAATGCGGACTTGTTGGGACAAATAGGCTTGTGCGTTCCGAAAAATTACATTTGGCGGCGGCGCAGATCACAACTGTTTGCGGTACCGCAAGGGAGCTCCCAGTTTGTTGAATGAGGCGCCGTGGACGCGTGCACTGCGTACTTTATATATTATCGCTGGGGATAATATATTATGAAATTACTTTATCACATTAAATCTAACTAAACTATCATGTTAATAATTAACTAAACATGTTATCTAATAAACCTAGTTACCGCGATATGGTGCCAAGAAACCTAGCTGCATTTCCCCGCTGGATAGTTATGCTTAACCTTTGAGGGAGAAAAGAACCGGCGCTCTTGACACCAGCCTATGTCTAGAACGTAAACCTTTTATACTGTATTTAAATGTACGGTGACGTAATGTTTCAACATCAAATGTTACAGGTTACATATACATCATCCATATTTGCGCCACGTGGTACTTACTTCCGCTACTTCTTATTCTTCCCTTTAAATGAGAGGCATCCAAAACGTCTACACAAGTAGCATCGCAAACGAGCTTTTATTTTTTTTATTATTTATTGAAATTATTACTTATTTGTTCATATTAATAATGTTAATGTTTTGAATTTTATCTTCAGTGCCGATAATATTGTGTTAAATATAGAACATAGATTTGTGGAACTTTGAAATCCGAACACTAGCATCGAGCCAATTGCACTTGAATATATTAACCCGGCACTCAACCTCTATTTAAATAAGAGTTTAGTAAGTCACAATAATTCTGTGTACAGATTTCGTAGAAGGTTCGTTCTTTAAGAAAAATCGAGAGGAAATTAAAGTGTGAACATGTTATTAAAAATTACATCTTAAACCAAAGTACCTGGCAAAGACTGCAGTCGAAGCAATTGCAAATATCGCCATTCGCTAACGCTCACTGTGCTTGACGCAACATTTTGAAATATCTATTTGTGTTTTTCATGCAGAATTCTCCATGTTTTTTTTTTATTGGAACAGAAAAATATATTAACACATACCAAGTTATGAACTGTAGTTGCGATCTGTGATAATTGTTATAATTTTAACAAACTGTGGTTATCTAAACCAACAACTGCTCTACTTGCTATGTTTAGGTACCTAATTAGAAAACTGATACCGTAATGATTATTAGTAACACCTTCTGTTTGATTTTTTTCTATGGCAAACGAGCAAACGGTTCACCTCCAAATGTCAAGTGAATTTCCACGGTCATCTACAACAGTTGCCTTTATAACATTCTCATCGACCCCATCGAGGAAGGGGATGAAATTATCCCGGACCCACCAGAAGTCTTGCCCGACAACAATTCAGACGTACTAAGTGTTAACTTTTTTCTTAATTTACACCTGTTCACAAGCATGACTCTGCTTAAGTAGGGTTTTTCGAGATCGTAGAAACTTTCACGAGATCTATACCCGATGAATTTATATAGGTACTTATGTATAATTATATAGCGTAAAGACTGAAAGCAATATTGTCAATTATCACATTGGCAACCTTTTATAGAGCGGACCCCGGGCGGTTATTCTACAGGCGAAACACCACAGTTTTTCTAGTTTACATCGGCCTTCCTTGGAGCCGTGGTAGTTTTCCAAATGAACTTATCCATTTGAGACCACAGAAGTTAACGTGCAGCTATAATAAATTATATTATTTTTATATATACAAAAGTATTTAAAACTACCAGAAGTTTGCGTAAAAATAATAGAATGCTCGTCTCTATGCTTAAATCGAAGAGAAAGCTTATGAATAATTCAAAACACGTGTAAAGCAGGCGTTGATCATGACCTGTGCTCGTGACGAAAAAGCATCATAATTTCTACCGAAACACATGGGAACCACCAAGTGATGACGAATTCGGACGTGCATTAAAAAACATCATAGAGTGGCAATGCTGCATGCAATGACCGAACGATAGACGCGTGGAAAATGCGTGACCGAAACGTGACGTCCATATTGTTTTTGTTGCCATTCTATCATTTTTTCCACAAATTCTGTAAAAATTTATCAACCGGCCCAACAACCCACAATCTGACACTCATACAGTTATGACAATAATTACTAATCAGGCACCACCTCGGCATATAGAGCGAATTACGAGGGCTATAACATCTCTCATGGTGGAAACAAGTGCCAAGCACAGAAGTCTAACAATGCTGCTGGTTCGTGTTGATTTGCAATGTTGTTTCAATGGTGATTTCATTGTAGTAAACCTCTTTGCAATTCTTCCTCCTACTTTCTTTCGTATGGTAAGCGACAAGTATTTGTGTGACCCACAGATAATTGTTCCGATCCAATCTGGGTGTTTGTTTCCCAAGGAGGGTTGACGTAAGGTAGGCAGCCGGTCGTAAAACATAGCCAAAACCACATACAACAAGATTTAAACGTTGTGCCAACCCTACCTTGGTGGGATAAGGGCAGAAGAATGATGATGATGACTAGTTTGCACTGCATGTTGATTGTTGCGTTGCACTGCATGTTTCACTGCAAATCTTAAATTTTAACTCCATCTTGAAATTCATAAATGTTACTTACAAAAATAAATAGCTACTCAAAATACCAACTACTTATACAAGTACTTAATTAAATTACCTATGTTTTGTTATATTATAATTTGTTTTGTACTATGCCCTATCAACAGGGTCCATAAAGTACTGTTTTACTCATTATCCTAACACCTTTTGTTACTTAATGGATGTGCAATAAATAAATAAATAAATGTTTTTGGGATTAAAAGAAAATATTAGTAATATTTTATTCTACTTTAATTCGGTAAAAGTTGGTTATTAATCTTGAAACACAGAACATTATCTTTCTCTTTCATTCCCGTTCTAAAATCAATCAGTTTGGTGCGGCTGCGAAACGAAATTCAGACCAGTCGATTTTTGGCAGTATTGAAGAAACGACGTATTGCGATTTTCTCTCTATTACCCTTAAATAAAATAAAATATATTATATAGTCGCAAGAATCAATTGGTTTCCTATAAACTAGTATATCTGTGAATTAAGATGCCTAAAAAATTAAAGGTTGTTGTAAAGTCGTTGTATTCTCACGAAATACGGAAAGATGTCAGTTTGGAAAATTTAAAATCGTTGAAACTTGAAGATGCATGGCCTTTTATCAGAGACGAAATAGAGATTGAAATCGGCAGTAGTCAGTTGGTGTGCATCCCGCATATTACTGAAGCCGATTTGTATAAAGTTACGTCGCTTTTCGTGCAAAATGAAAAAGAAAAAAATGGTAAAATGTTCACACCGCTAGGTGAGCTGAAGAAGAATATTAATACAGAGAAATCTAGCTCCGAATATGTTCAATGGCTTGAAGAAGGCAATTTTCAGGATCTAGATTTCAAATTTCCTCATGAAAGTGTAAAGGTAAGTTTGAATAATATTACTAAGTTGTTCATTTTATATGGCCTTAGGCTTAAAAATATTTGATTAACGCTTTTCATTATTTTTTTATACATAGTAGGAGTATAGGCATGATTTGCAGAGGCCTTTTACAAATAACAACTAAAGGCCCATTTACACGATGCCATTTTCTTGTACATACAAGAGCAATAATTGAATGCAATAAATTGCCCAGTCAGATAATAGCTACCGATCGAGCCGAGGTCCGGCCCTCTCGGGCACCCTCGAATCGGAATGCTAAACGCGTGCTGAGTGACAGCCCAAGCCGAGGTCCCCTCTCGGGGACCCTTGAGCCTGATCACTCCATGGAGCGCCCGCCAAAGCGCCCTAAGAGCTTGGCGGCCTCCCAAACCGGTAATAATAATAGCGTGACGGCCCGAGCCGAGGTTCCTTCGGGAGCCCACGAGCTTAGTCACCATAACGCGTAATAATAGTACGCCGAGGTTCAGGCTAGGCGCCTCGTGCGCCAGGCCACCTCAAGTCCGTCGGATTTGTAAAGGCCCCTAAGGCTCATCCAGCCAAAAAAAAAGCAATAAATTGCGCGCAATAATTTGTTAGACCATTTGTTGTTTAGACCATGCAACTCATTTATTGCTTCAATTTAATTGTATACAACAGGCAAGAAACTTGCACCGTGTAAATGGGTCTTTAGACTGCAACTAGAAGCTGAACAATTTCTGGAGGCCATTATATAAAAAATAATTGTCCTTTTATAGCTGAAGTATATTCTTAAACCTAATCACTTCATTTATCAGTTTGTTTTTCAACACAAAAAAGGAACATCATAAAGAAAACTTGCTAATGATACAACATTTCGTTTTATTTTTAAAAGCGAAAAAGAACCTTAACTGATGCAAGACTTATGAAAAGCTTTAAAAATATAAAGTCTTATATAATGTATCTCTTTATTATTCCATTAAATTTTCTCATTTAATCTAAGTAAATCAAGTTTTGCTATGCTTATTTCCAGATAACGTTGCAAGATGAATCTATTAAAAACAAAGTCAGAGTTATTATGGTCAATTTTACAAAAAGTGTAATTCCAAAGGATAAAAACTTTGTCAACAACATTTACTTGGATATCAATAAAAATAAAGGTCTGTAAATTGTATTGTATAATTTATTTAAATTCAAGTTGTTTACTTTTTGTATAACCAGATCATTAGCAGTATAATGATTGCAGTACCTATTAATAAGTTAACAGAATTTTTAACAGATTCATTTTTTTTCTAGATCTCAAAGGAAAGAAATCAGTGTACATGATCACAAATGTACTTTTAGCAAAAACAATAGAATTCAGAGTGACCATAGGTACATCTTCACGGATCTTCCATCTCGGGAATGCATCGCCACTTGTATTTGGCTTAGAAGAATTTCTTATTGGAGACGATGGAAAACTAATTGCTAAGGTGAGGATTTCTTAAACCATTACTTATTGGGCAGTCTATTTTAATATTTTAAAATCTTTTATAATTTTCCTACATACCATCCATGTGAATTTAATTATTTTACTAATATATTTCAATCAATTATCAATAATGCTTAGTAAGAATATCTTTTGATGACCATCCCAACCGTTCCCTTGTCAATGTTATTTCAAGTATTACAACTTATACTATTTACTTTTAAAGGCCAATATAATTATTAAAAAATAAATATCTTCATTTTAGTTTGGCCACAGTCCATTCATGTAATTGAGTAAACTCTAGTCATTATCAATAGCTATTTAAATATTTTTCCTTGTAAATGTCTTTGTCAAAGATGTCAATGCTATTTCAAGTATTCTGCCATATATTTACTAATGGTAAATATTATGGTATTCATTTCCATTACCACAGTTTGATTTTCGAGCTAACAAAAAACTTTTTTCGATAGAGAAAAAGGTATTCATTGAAAATGAAATATCTTAGATGTTTATTTTAATTTGGCATCAGTCCAAACAATTATTTGAGTAAACTCCAGCCATAATAAATAGCCTATTTCCCCCCGTAACCATCTTTCAAAGACGGTGAATGAATTAAATGGAGTCTTCAAATTCCCCAAGCGTTATCATTTAATTTAATTAAAGCTAAATTTAAGACCTTTTATTTTATTTTTTTACCGTAATATTTCTAGTCATTAGTTAACCGTGCAAAAATATTTCTATAGGTACGTGCTAAACGCTGCGACGTGTTTACCAGTCATATTTCGATGTTAATAAACTAGATTATATACATTGACATAGATAAAACAGATTGACATAGATTGCCACTGTCTATGCTGTTAGGGGAAAAGATAAATACGTGCTGTATTTTGTTAAAAGCTTCCGCCTTATTCACGTGTTTATCAGAGTATCAAAAAGCAGGAATGCTTTTTGATATTCTGATAAACTCTCGCGGTAGACACGCATATTAACGTGCTCGACTATATAAATTTAGGCTTAACCCTTTTAACTAACCTTTCCGTAGGACCGGTATCAGGTATAACTCTAAATATTCTTAGGACTGCAATAGTAACTTCCGTTAATACGAGAAGACTAAATCGCCGTCTCTGATGAAAATTAAAAAAATGCTTACTAACGTTCAAGGGCCTTTAATAGTTTACGGGGGATCCACGATTAGAAATTGCCTTATCGTAACTTATTTAATAATATGGATAAACGTCCGATATCAATTTACTTAAGGTATTGCATTGCTTAGCAAACAATAAATATCTTGTGTAATTACCATAATTCCTTGATCCGTTTAAACAGTAGCAATGTATTATCGTAATCGCGAAACATATCCTGACTGATTTATAAATTATTATCATAAAGCCTCCGGGGCTATAAAGTTATAAATCCGATATGAGTAAATAAATTGAATGAAATATGATGAAACGCAATTGAAATTTATCCATAATATATATGCGATGCGTGTTTTACATTTTATCAATACCGTATCGCATTCTGTGTGGGACTTATTAACAAAAATAACTGAAATGTTCACAAAAACTACAATATTGTGAGACGAGTGACGTTAAGTGATGTGCACCGCCCCTTTTTTCTCCATGGTTTTAGATGTTTTGTTGAATTGGGTCCGGTTACGGGTATAACGCTTCACCTTCACGCACTGGGGCCACTTTAGGTTAAAGAGACTTAAATTAGGCTACATTAGGTGCTGGAAAAAATGGCGACATCGGGCATTGTATTGTTGGCAACACTGGAGAAGTTAAGAAGTAAAGCCGAATAGTTGCACAGGTGTCGCCATTGGCAGCAGTCTATAATAAGGACACCTTTAAACTTCTTAAATGCTCTCTTGTTTCATTGCTGTACTGTTATTGGTTACCAGTACATATTATATTGGATGTAGGACCTTGTATTAACAATAATGACAACACTCAGATTTCTTAATAGGGAAACTCTCCTTTGCTTCTTATTGTTTATTTGTTTGAATGACATCATCGATTTTTTGGTTCAGTACGGGAAGCCATTTTACCTTGTGACGCAAATACGAACGCTTAAGATTCCATTACACAAATATTTGTCTTATTATTCACGGCGATTAGGATTTCGTAATTTAAAGTAATTTGAGGGATTTGTATTATATGTATATTATGAAAATTTTGGAACAAAATGTGTTTCTCAAAATGTACCTGTGTAACGTTTCATTTCAATTAAGAATTTTGATGAAACGTTTCATAAAAACGTACTTGTTAATTACATCCTCAATTGAGTTGATTAAATGAGACGATAAAATGGCAAATTCAATATTTTTGTTTTAAAATTTTCCAACGTCTACAATCACGCACTACAAATGGAACAAAAGTTTAATATGTGTATAATTGTTAGATACACTTATAGAGGCGTAAATGTTGTTCGTGGTATTTAGCACACAGTTACGAAGGGCGTTGTAATAATAAAAATAAAACATTACTAGACCGATATTCAATAGTAAATAGATTTACTATAAGGACAAAGAATCCATCGGTTTTTTGATAAGCGAGAAACCGCTTTTCATACAAGTTTTAATGAATAAATAGTCAATTATATCGGTAATTGTTGAGCTTAAAAAAAATCTGATCAGAGCAAGGTGGGGTTACGTACTTGATTTCTTTTTTAAACACGTAATATAACGAACAATTTTAAATTGAACAAATTTAGAATTTTTTTTCAATTTATTAATTATGATAATTATCTCAAATATTTTTTCATTTGATATTTATATAAATCGCTGCTGTATAACTCACTAAAGTTCGTTAAGGAATTTCCGTAAACCATATACAATTTATTTAATTTTTTGCGGTAACGTAATCCACGCTTGTGTTTAAATGCTTTTATTAAATTGACTGCTTGATTTTAGACGAATATTATACATAGTAAATGAAACTAGTTTACGGATTTTATCGCGTTTTAATTTTGATTTTTAATTCTCGACGCTTTTAGATTAATTTGTTAGATACAATCTATGTAAGAAAATATTTCAACGTCAATTACTTCTAGCTGTCCGAATTGCTTGAAAATTTGCCTAGTGTTCAGCTCAGTTTCAATCTGATACCCAGGCCGCGACCATCAATATTAGGGAAAATAATTTTTATATTTATCATTTTTGTCCCACAGGTATGTAATATACCATGGTAGATGTTTTTCAGCCTTGACGACAGTTGTAGTTGTACCATTATTATACGATACTGTTAAGTCATATTGTAAAGCTAAATTTTATTTTGATATAAAAATAGTTTGTTTTATATTTCCTCCAGTTGATGATAGTTCAGAAATTTTGATAGCTACCTACAAAGAAGAAATGAAGTTTGTAAAAAATGATGTATCTATAAAAATAGCTTCTTATAAAGTTACTAGTAGTCCCGGCAAACGTTGTTCTGACATATAAATTATTTCTAAGGAATTGTACGCTAGAAAAAACTGTTTAGGATGGACCACCCCAAACATTTAGAGGGATGATAAATAGATGTTGTCTGATTCTCCACCCTAACCGATATGCACACAAAATTTCACGAAAATCGCTCAAGCCGTTTCGGAGGAGTTCAATTACAAACACCGTGACACGAGAATTTTATATATTAGAAGTTAGAGTTATTGTAAAAATATGATATGAAGAACAATTAACAACCTATTTTTATTTCAAAATTGTTTAAATTCGGATTGCAATTAAAGCGTGTCGTATTAGTTTTTTTGATATTTTATTCATTGCTGAGGGTCCTAAGCATTTTGTGTTTATATTGCTAGACGGTTCATCGATTTTATTCAAATCCTAACAGTATTGCTACGCATCTGTGTTAAATTAATAGAATTTTTAACCTTCGCTTGTGATCAACATAGTATGCTATGCATAGCAATGTGACATAACTTTGTTATGTCACATTGCTACATCTTGTTAATTGTACTAAACTGTGACCTGCGCGCAGTCACGTACAACTTTTATTCGTTACACGAATGTACCTACTGTCTACTGCTACAGGATTGCATATAAATTCCATCGTTTATTATTAGTCAGTTTGGTCACGTAAGCAACTCAAAATCATTAAATGTATAAAATGCAATTCACCACAATTATTAAAACTCGTAGAAAGAGAACGAAAAGATTGTCGCCGCTGTGGGAATCGAACCCACGTCTACGGCATTCGCGGCCTGACGCTTTAGTCACTAAGCTAAACAGCCGATTGCCACACCGACGAAAGCTTTAAATTTCACTACAATTAGTTTCAAATTTGACAGGTGGTGAACCTGTCGTTCTAAGCCGCTAAATAAAGTGAGTTGTATTAGAGGAACGATATCGGTTCTAAGGATATAGTGCATCAGACTTATTGCCAGCCAGCTTGTTCGTCTACCTTATATTTTTTCCTTTGTCGTTGATAACGTATAAGCCAATAAATCAGTTCGAGTAGGGCTTCGTTTCAAGGTTTTTTCGGCTTTAGAAAATTCTGTCTATTGTTTTTTTTTTATAATTCCTTCACGGTCTAAAATCGCGAGTTTTGAATTCATGTCAATGCAGCGTTTAATCGATACTAAAGCGAGACTCATTTCTATACATGAGCAAGTGTTAAACTTATTTATAAATTGTGACTCATAATAATATAACAACGATAAAATTCTTCTTTCTTCTGCCGTGAATAATATTGTTACTGGTATTTTCTATATTTTCACTTGTTGTTTTATTGCGAACAAACACTAAGATCTAGAACAATTATACGTGTGTGAATATTTGTCCCGCGTGGGAATCGAATCCACAGTGCCGATGCCAAAAGCTTAGCATCTTACAATGATAATCTCAACGAGTCATCTGACAACGATAAAATTTTTGTTAAGTTAGTTACCCACGCGTGTTTTTTATTCAAAAAGCAACAAATTTATTTAAGAAACCACATATTTCAGTTATCATAGACCCCTGAAGACATGAATAGCATTTATATTTGTAAATACCGTTACGTTAAATATAAGCAAAGTTTAGCTAAACCGTTTATATTGACCTTTATAATCTCTATGCAACTGCGTTGTTCATTCCCATGACTAGCGGTGCAATGGCCTTGGTGGGGCTTAAAATAAGTGGAAATCAGGTCACGAAGTCGGTTGCATAACAATGGGAAATAAAACTAAGAAAGTGGAAATAATTTATGATATTTCATTTTCAGCCATGGTCCATTGACATGACATATTTTTATTAAACGGTTTTATTTAGCTCGACCCGTACGGAATTTGTTTGTTTATTTATTTGGGTCAAAATTAGAAATTGAAATTTAAGCACCTTGCCGTTGTCAGATTGATCTGAAATTTGGTACACATTTAATTTAGATGACAATACAATATTAACAAAAAAAAAAACAAAAAAAAAAACATAAAATAAAACCGTTTAACTTAAAAGTTTTTTAAAGTAATTATTTATCAATTATAAAAGAAACGTTTTGAAAACGTTATGAAAGTAACAACAACAATATATGATATTATCAACATTCAGGGCCAAAGATTATTTATCATACTTGTAGAAATTGCTGATAAATGATTTTTAAGATTTTATTTATAGATTTTGTAAATATTATATCCTTAAATACGTCATACGAAAACTAATGCCAAACAAAGAACTAATAGAAAGGTATTATAAAATAATATTATAATGTTTATTCTTTATTTGACTTACAACCGGCGAGTTTTGATCAACGAGCACAGTCATTGCGAATTCTTTGCATTTAAACATTAATTCTTATACAAAGAAAATTGAATTAAAATCAAAATTATACCCGGAAAAATCAATAAATTATTAAACGTAAAAAATTTCGGTAAATAAATTAACAAACTATTTTTTTCAATAATCCATGTTAGAGTAATAAAATGAATTATACCTCTAAACCTTCCCCATGAGTCATTCATTAGTGAAAACTGAAAATTGTATGTAAATTTAGTCAGTAGTTTATGAGTTGATCTGGTTCAGATAGACAGAAGGTGAGATTATTTTCTACATAAGCTTGGCGGAAAAATCCAGCATATTGTAAGTTAAGAAAATTTATTTTACTTTCAGGAGCCTGTCACCATCAAGTCTAAAGCACTCTATTGGCAAAAACTGGACCCGTCAGATCACCTTTACATCCCTGAGCAGAAAGGAGAAACATCTAATGATTAAACAATTTTAGTGTAGAGTAAATGGAAAAAAATGCAATTTGATATAGACAATTTGATATAGTCTATGCTTTTTCGAATTTTAGATAACAAGGACTAGGATATGATGTCAATACGCTTGCAAATTAAAGCATAACCAATACAACTTGTATAGATTCTTGTAGAAGATGATTTTAATATAGGTAATGGATATTGTCACGAATCTTTGAATATTTTGCTGAGCAAAATATTATTTTATTTCCACATTTGGCTTTTAACACTATTTTCTCTTATGTGTATTTAGTTAGTAATAAACACTATGTAATATACATATACATTGTTTGTACTCTGATAACTAGAGTACAGAGTTTCATAATGTTAAGCATTATCCTATTTAACCTTTTTTTTTTAATTTTATAGAAAAAACTAATGAAATTGAAATGAAATTATATATTACTGTTGAGGTTCCATTGTGTAATGGTTACGTATGTGGACTTGAATCCAAGTTATTATTTTATAAAAATTGGAATGTTGTTTGATGTTTTGAAAAAAACGAATATTAAATCATTTTCTTATTGTTTGACTGGGAATATTTATAATCTGATGTGATTGTTAAAGTTTGGTACACAAATTAAAATGATAATTTATGACATTTATGTACTAATATGAGAAATTAATCTTTGTGTATTATTATATGTACTAATTGTGTAATGCAGTTGTACTAGTGGCATAGTCACATTTTAGTTTAAATAGGTAATTTAAGTCATCAGTAAACACTAAGCATTTGGCGATCTGCAGTCACCTTCACTGATCATTAGAATGACACATTCCAAAAAAAATTTAGGTATTTTTAAATTACACATTATAACTTGCAAAATTATGCCACCTGTGATTGCTGTATATTGTTTTATCAGTATTTTGAAGCTGTTATTTTATTATTTTTGCACATTTTGTTTTTGTGCTTACTTAGTATAAATGTACTTCTATTTACTTTTAGTTATAATATAAATAGTAATTGCATTGTGATCATTTTAGTATTAATATACGTACTTAATTTTTACTTATATTATGATTAACGTCATTGATCAAATGTTTTGACAATCTTGATATTTTGTGTAATGTTTGAAAAATAAATAAAATGTGTGTAAACATTAATTACTTTTAATTTATGAACATGCGAAGATAAATACTTAAGATTTAACACGCACCTCATTTTGTTTTTTCCCGTTAGAGTCGACCTATCGTTTTAGAATAACTAGTAATTTTGCCTGAATGATAAAATTAGCAGTAAGTAACATACTCAAATGAGTTATAACTTAGAATAGCATTTTATGCCATTTTAAAAACTATTTCACTACATTATAACATTCATTTAAAATTAAACTTTGTTATATTGCGTTAGGAAACATTTAAATACCTACCTTACGACAGAATAACATTATATCTTAACTTGCCACTATTGACAGACTAGATACTTCCTACATTTTTAGCAATTTTTGGCTCCACCTAATGAATGACTACAATATGCCAACACTCTTATAACAATAACATCGGCCAACTTAAGTGACATCTGGCGCGTTAACAAAAAGATAACCTGGTTCGTGTCCTGACGAAGCCGAAGTTCACGACAATTTATATAATAAACTTACATTTAGTTTTTAACTAGGGTGCGGATTAGCACGGCCTTTATCGACGCAGTAGAGTCCAAAACAATGATTGTTACAATTTTTGTCTCTGTGCGTCTGTGCGTGCTAATCTTAGTAACGGCTTAACCGATTTGGGTGCAACTTTCACTAATATATTGTAGCAAGCTTCATTTAACATTTAGCGTTAGTTTTATTTAAATCGGTATATAAATAAAAACGTTGTATAAACTTAAAATGATAAAAAGGTAGATAAAACCGTTAAATTGTATGATACTATAGTTAACAATATATTATGCTCTGTAAAACGATAATGATTGAAGTTTACATAAAGTTAAAAAAATCGGCCACTTGCGAGTCGAGCTCGTGCATGAAGGTTTCCTTAGGTACTTTTTATGCACGATATAAAATGTAGTACATGCGTGCGAAAAAGATAGTTAAAAATATACGCGTTAAGTGCGTAAAAAAAAGTTTCATTAATTATTCCTTAATCGCGTAAATACAAGATATTATTCGGGTACTACAGATTTTATGAAAACAAGTTTAAACGTTTTTATACCGGCCTTACTGTTCCGATATTCTTCATAAATTAGATCCATAAACAACGCCGGCGCTTCAACTCGTCATAATATTCTGTTTAAATTTCCGTTTTAAAAGAATGTTTCTATATTTTTGTTTTTGCAGCGGATATAAATAAAGCCTGAGGAACTTCCGCAATTGAGGAAACGGAAACAGAAACTTGTTGGCATCACTACTAAATTGCCAAGTTTGAACATAATGATACATTTCACATACATCCTGTCTTCGGAATGCGCAGTAAACGGTGTTATACGGAATGTTTATATAAAATAAATTTATTTGTTTGAATAACGGTTTATCAATTACACTAGAGCTTCACGGGCAAACACCATGGATTCCTGCGTTGTGATTCAGTGTTTCAATCTTAATTCGTTAAAGGTTTGAAAGGTAACGCTACCATTTCAACTATTAATCAGAAGCCAACGGGCGCCCAAGATTAACTGGGAACAGTAAACAGTTTTTCAACAGTTCGGCATAAAATTATCCTGGACTCTTAAACTTTTCATTATCTCAACTAATAGTATCACAATTTACTATGTCGTAAGTTAACACAACATAGGTACTATTTTCGATCGGAGCGAATTTTCATTAATGCATTAATGAGTAAATAAGTGGAAAAGTTCGTAAATCCAAAAGGGCACGCCTCATACAACTCATTAAATTTTTTAGAAAAAAAAAACAAGGACCATTATTTATTTGTACTTTGGACATTTTTTTAATGTCATTATTGCAATCTATCAATTTGCAGATATTCAGTAATATGTATAAGATGAGATGGGCTTGCACGATTGCCGTCCAGTGACTGCTCCGTTGATTCATGTGCCTTTCAGAGAAGGTCTTGGGGAATCTTGCTCTTTAGTCTACGAGCCACTGTTTGGGTGTTCATTAGATTGACTGCCAGCATATTTGGATTATTAGTGATTCGCTTCTTGTACGCTTTAATCCTTTCGGAGATTTCTTCTATTACGCTTTTGATGCATAGGTCGTGATGGAGTCTAATGTTGGAGATATACCAAGGTGCGTTCGTTATTATTCTTAATATCTTTATCTGGAATCTCTGTATAATTTCAATGTTGGATTTTGCTGCTGTTCCCCAGAGTTCTAGGTCATATGTCCATATATGTTTTATTATGCATTTATATAGCAATAATTTGTTTTGAAGTGAGAATCATGATTTTTTATTTAGTAGCCAGTACATAGTACGCAACTGTTGGCCCATAGCTAATCGCTTTGTTAAAATATGCTTTTTCCAGGTTAGGCGTCTATCTAAGTATATTCCAAGATACTTGACGTGATCCTCTTGGGGTAGAGGTATGCCATTTAGAGTGACTGGTGGACATGTTTCTTTCCTGTTTGTAAAAGTAACTTGGACAGATTTAGTTTCGTTGGCTTTGATTCGCCAGTCTTTGAGCCATTTGGATAATTGATCGAGACTGTTTTGAAGCTTCTGTGCTGCAATGTTTGGTGAATTGTCCATGGATATAATTGCTGTGTCATCAGCAAATGTTCCAGTAACTACTTCGTCGTAATAATCAGTCGTATGGAGATCAGCTGTAAAAAGCAGATACAACGTGGGACCCATGACGCTGCCTTGCGGAACTCCAGCTTTAATAGCATATAGAGACGTTATCTCTTCTCCTTGTTTAACAAAAAAGTGTCTGTCGCTTAGATATGACTGATATTAGGTTGTAGAAGTTTATAGGTAGGGCTTTTTTATTTTGAAAAGTAGTCCGTCATGCCACACTCGATTAAATGTCTGTGAAATATCCAAGAACGCCGCCACACTGTATTGTTTTGATTCAAGAGCTTTGTTTATAAGTTCCACTAGTCTGTGTACTTGTTCAATAGTACCAAGCTTTCGACGAAAACCAAATTGATGGTCAGGTACTTATTTGTTTGCGGCAATAATCGGGGATAATCTATGCAAGATAAGTATCTCCATGATTTTTGATGGTATGGGTAACAGACTAATAGGTCTGTATGATTGCGGCTCAACTGGATTTTTTCCGGGCTTTAGGAACCATTATAACTTGGGCTATTTTCCATGGAGGAGAGACTATTCCTCTTCGTAAGATAGAGTTATACAGGAAAGTGAGAAATTTAATTCCTTCCTTTGGATTTTTCCTGTTATAAGATCGTAACCAGGAGCTTTATTTGGATCAAAAGCCTTAATAGCTGTTTTTATTTCTTTAAAACTGAGCTTATTAATGGGAGGATCGAGTTTATATAGTATTATATTTTGGACATGGCTTCATTTCCCAAAGTATTTCCTATGAAAAGGAAAAGGAGCCTCCTAATTTTGAGGAAATTTTGGTAAAAATTTCAATTAGGTGACATTTTACACACAAAATTTTATTCGGTAAAGAAAAATCACTGATGAAATCACCAACAAGCAGAATTCTCCGGTCGCTTATAGTTTTCGAGAAAAAAATATTTAAATCTTGTTATTTTCACTAGAGAAATCCGCCATATTAAAAATACTAAAACTACTGTTGCACTGACGTTCGGGGTGGTCATAAGAAAAATAACCACGAAGGTTTAGGGAGCTCCACTCCCACCTTAACTTTCCATTTTAATCTATCCGAGTTGGATTGCTCTGGGTCGGATCTGTGACTCATTAAATTTTTCAAAAAAAATTAATATATTGTTTTACAATCGATACGAGTATGACGTCGCTCGCTTTCTATATTTATCATGTTGGCTGTACTGTGTATTAAGTTTTAAATTTTAATAGGTAAAATGGTGGACTTTCTTAGCGAAAAAAAACAAGTTTTATACCGCAACGGGACTCTTTGGAACGCGCCCTTGAATCCCGTCAACGCGTCTCACGGAACGCGCCTCAACCGACTGTGATTGGTCCACGACCGCGCCGCCATCGCAAGCTCCGACTGCGCCTGCGCGACTAGACCGATGCCGAATCCTTCCAGCGCCCACGGCACCTACCGCCGTTCTCTCGCTCCGTGGTGCCGCCCCCACCGTCGTCTCTACAACTCCACGGGTCTTCTACTCCGTTCGCAAACGCCAGCCGTCGATATTGCTTCTATTGCAAGAGCTATGGACATACACGTGAAGAATGTCGTAGGTTAGCAGCTAAAGGCAAACAGGATATTGATAACACCGCCGACCCCGTCCTGTCATGTTACGGATGCAACGAGAGAGGTGTCACTCGATCATAGTGTGCTAAATGCAATTCGGTCTTCTCTGCGTGTGAACACGACCGACCGAAAGGCGCGCTGATGGGAATTTACGGTACATGGTACTCCACCACTGTTATCGAATCATTTTGTGATAAGGATGACTCTCAGGCGAGTTCCTCTTCATCTTATAACACTGTGTCACATAAAGGTTTCCCCTCGAGCACGTTATCACTCCCCGAGTCCAACATTGATTCATTGAACCATAAGCCGTTATTGGTAAATAATATTGCACGGGAATGCTCTGATAATTTTTTGCCTACTCAATTTAAATATGCTTTACCTGAATTGTTTCATAATCACACAGAGTTTTTACCTAAACAATTAACATCTGTGTTACCCGAGTTATTTTATGTTAACATTGATCACATAGTTTTTTTGCCTATTTATTTTACTGCATTTTTGCCATATCAATACTTTCTTTGTGATAATGGGTGTGTATTTAATTCATGTCCTGATATTAATATGTTTGAGTGCATGTCACATGATGTGCCTCCTCCGGCTTCTAAGCTCACAAACGTGCTTGGTTGTTGTCCTATTTTCTACAACTTCTGATAAGTGTAGGGTGACTATGATTTTTTTCGGACATCCGCGGAAATCGAGCACGGAAATTACGGTGACCAAAACAAATGTTTTACATGGTCAATCCGGAAACATAAAATACTAAAAAAATAAATTTACTACGCCTACTAGGTTGACCATGCAGGACGATTGTAATAGTAATCAAAAATTATTTTCTAATGTTGAGTCACAATTTTTAATAAATAGAGCGACCACATGTTCGAACATTTCTCTGTCGACTCTTAATTCAACTAATTCAAACGCTTATCAATCACAACGGAGACCAATTTTAGGGGTAGAAATTCTAGTACCGCACTCAGGTGTTGGTCAAACATACTCATTCCTGTCAAGAAACCAATAAACGCGTTCGACTCGCTGACTAACTCGCTAACCTACAAGTAAAAATAAAAAATAAACTGTTGTGTTTGGAGTTCATTATTTTTCCAGAGACAAAATCCAATAATACTATTCTTGGTATGGATTTTATTACCTCAGCGGGTATGGTGTTCGATTTCGCTGCATCAATTTGGTGTTTCTCTGGTGATGAAGTGACTTACCCATTGGAATATGAACTTTCCAGACCATGCGTGTCCGTATCCTCTGTAGATTTCCTACGTGAGGAAGAAGGAGTTATGCTGCATCCTGAAGAGAGACTGCTGTTGTCCGACCTCTTGAAACAGAACGAAGACCTGTTCGAACAAGGGGGAGGGGACCAACTCGGTACGCAGAGCATCGACACCGGCGATAATTCTCCTATTACCGTTCCACCGTATAGGCTCACTCCAGCAAAAAAAGAGATAATGAAGGCAGAGTTGGAGAAAATGTTAGCAGATGACGTGATTGAAGAGTGTGAGTCTGCTTGGTCTGCGCCTGCTCTTCTTGTCCCGAAGAAGGACGGATCTTTTAGATTTTGCGTCGACTACCGTCGCCTTAATGTGATCACCAAGATCGATAGATATCCAATTCCCTTAATCGATGGTTTATTGCAGATGACCATACGGGATTGTCACATGTCCAGCATTGACCTGCGTGCCGGATATTGACAAGTCAATTTAGCTGAAAAGGATGGAGATAAAACTGCTTTTATAAGTTCTTTTGATACGTATAGGTACAAGCGCATGCCATTCGGCCTAAAAAACGCACCATCAACCTACCTTCCAGCGACTGATCGATCGATTCCGCTCAAGTTCGTCGTTGCAGAACATCACTCTGCTGGCTTATTTGAATGTCATTCTGGTGTTCACACAGGGAAGTTTTCAGGACCACCTTCAGGATCTTGACAAGGTGTTTGACAGACTGCGTCACTTTACACTCCACGCGACCCGCGCCAAATGACACTTTGTTCGCCAGGAAGTTACATACCTAGGCCATGTGATCACACCCAAAGGAATCAAGCCGGATAGCACCAAAGTCGACGCCGTCCTGAAAATGAAGGAACCACACAATCTCAAATATTTTAAATCATTTTTATAGACCTGTTCCTGGTTTAGGAACTTTATTCCTGATTTCTCGCGTATTGCTGAACCTCTGTTGAAACTTACCCGCAAAAACGAGGCGTGGACCTGGGGTGAAGCACAGCAACGCGCCTTCGACCTGCTAAAGAGTAAGCTTACTAGCGCTCCTATTTTGATACAGGCCGATACAGGCGCACCGATGACTACAAGGTGACCCCAGCCCAGCAGAATTCTGACGTCAGCCGAAAGGAATTACTCTACCTCCGAGCGGGTAGCGCTCGTAGTCGTCTGGGCAGAAGAAAAGTTCAGGGGATACATTAATGGCCATCTATGCATAGCCAGCAATTATGCTCTGTTACGGTGACAACAAAGATCTGAAGTCCTTTCAGTGGATCTTTTACTCCCCTGCTTGAAAGAGATCAAGGACAAGTTGGGTCTTTACTTGTTCCGAAGACTTGAAGATCCAGTAGTGGCTACCATAGATGAACTTACCTCTACTCGGGGGCTGGCACGTGGAGCTGTTCTCGTTTGTGGAGGCCACAGCAGAAAATTTCACCAAACTTTTAAAGTCTTATAGACCAGAATACTTGCAACTCAGATATGGATTGCCACGTCGAGTTGTGACGACACTCAATTCATATCCTCAATAATGCAACTGTCGATGTTTATTTTAGGGGTTAAACAAGAGCTCATCCCAGTTTACCACCCTGAAGTTAATCCAAAAAGCGAGAACTCAAGGTACATCCCAGTTTACCACCCTGAAGCTAATCCAAATATCGAGAACTCAAGGTACAACTGTCTTTGTTAGTAAAAACCGAATACCAGAACTGGCCTAAATATTTTGCCCATGTTCGGTCCGCTATGAATAGCGCCGTCTGTTCCACCACTGGGAAGACCCAGCTTTTTTAACGTTCGCTCGCGAACTTCTCACGCCTTTCGAGGTGCACCATGATTTACGTGCAATCTTGGATAAAGAAAACTTTTTTCCTTCGGCCACTCCATATTTGCGTTCCTTCGTACGTGCCTTACAGGATATTCGAGATCGTGTTCAGAAAAAACAAGATCATCGTAGGAGATAGGTGATACTGCACGCCGTCCTATACCTTCTTAATAAAAGAATGGTCTTGGTCAAAAACCACGAAAGGAACTACTCGCAAATTCATGCCCACTACTTTTATACTCTCGAATTTGACTAACGACGACATTTTCATAGGTAAATATCACAGTTCGGACCTGACCCCCTTTACTCAAACGTCTGATAACAAGCAGACCACACCCGTTATTCCAAAGAAAGGTAGGGGTAGGCCGCGTATTAAATAGTCAGGTACCAAGTTGGGCCCGGGACGTGTTCAGGGACCAACTTGGAGGGGGAGCCTATAACGCAACGGGACTCTTTGGAATGCGCCCTTGAAACCTGTCAACGCGTCTCACGGAACGCGCCTCAACCACTGTGATTGGTCCACGAGCGCACCGCAATCGCAAGCTCCCACTGCGCCTGCGCATCTAGACCGACGCCGAATCTTTTGTTTCTGCACCTATAACTATTTCTCTCCAAATTCTGAGTTGACTGGTAGAGAATGAGCTTCAAGGCATTTAGTTTACCCAGTTTGTTGCATTTTATTTGCTATAAAATTAAATCATTTAATCATTAGTTTATGACTGGATAAATATTATAAAGAATATTTACTATATTTTCAGGTGGTATCCAGGCTTCTCAACTAGCGAAATATGATCAGTTGATTGCTTTTACCGTATATTATGTATGGCGTTAATATCTTCAACATGTGATAAAAGATTTTAGATTTCTGTTTAATGAATTTGGCATTTTATTTCAATACAATAGTAATGAATTAAATATAAATATTAAAACATAATTTTTTTATTTAAAGTTTTTATATGATTATTAAATGAATGATAATTAAAATTTGGCCAACATTATGCATTTATTTATCGACATACACGACAATACATACCAGCACTACTCGTCCTTCACTGTGACGTTGACGTATCATTTTCGTAATTTGTTTTTCTTTTTGTGGACTTAATTTTTCAATTTTGTAATGTTGGCTAAAGAATTGATCTGGATTCATAAATTTTCATTTTCTAAAAGTTGTAGTTCGTATGAGAGTTCCGACCGTTTCAGTATATATGTCTTATCTATGGTTCCGACTCTTAAACCTAGTGGTTAAATTCTCTTTGCAAAACTATCAATCGATCAGTTATCTGCAAAGAGTACTTTTATGTAACTGAAATCAAATTTGGTTACTGCGCAAAGTGTCAGCACTAGAGATGGGTCGTATCGCTTTTTCTGAGTACCGTATCTGAATCAGATTTCGATTTCAAATATCAGATTTCGAAACTATCTAGTTTAATATCTAGATATTTGACGGTCCCGTATCTACCTTGAATTCAAAAAAAAAAAAAAAAAAAAAGTATTTAAAAGTTGATTCATTCTATGTACATAATTTTCCTGATATTTAAAACTTAACTTATTTACAATTATGTGTGGGTTAATAATTATTTAGATTCCTCCGGGTTTAAATTCACGTTTACGAACGTAACCTGTTTGATTTTAATCGTCGAAAGTCTTGTTCGACGATCATTATACCTATACATAACTAAAGCTATTACCAGTGATACCAACTGTGCAAAAAGAATACTTCTAAATAAATTCGAAAACCCAATAAAATTGACTAAATTCAAAAAAACTTACTGAATTTAGAATCTCGATTTTTTTATACTATTAAGGTAAAATTAAAACATTACCTGATAAAATTAAAAATTTCATTAAAAATAGAAATTGAAGTAATATAAAAATGATTTATTTTAACATCTTATATATCGCTTAATAATTGACTTTAACATATTTTTAAAAACACGCAATCATGAGTGACAATATCTTTATAATTTGTGTAAGAAATAATACATTCAGTATTATAACTTAGGGCGGAAGAATTTAAAATATACACACAAAGCACATAAGCCTTGGTCTGATTTCCACCCAAGCAGCACAACACTATTAAATTATATTTTTCTTTTTGTGTACTTTTATTTTTTTTCCAAAAATATGAATAAAATTTAACTAATAAAAATATTCACAAAAAATTTACCTCCTAAAAAATTTCCATTTATATTTTTCTTCCTTAATTTAGGCAGAAAATTCTTAAGTAGTAAGTTGGCATCCCTTACTATTACGTTCTTAGTTCCAATGCAATCCAGCTCAAGACTAAACAAAATTTAAAGACATCGTTAATACCGTAATTCGTATTTAAATGCAACAGAGATTTTTTTCCATGCTGTTAAGATTCAAAATTACTTAACTGCGCGCTTTGTCGCCCGTTACGGCTCAAGGCTAAACAAAACAATAGAAATATAATAATATCGTTGTAGTAATCTTTGATACCATGATTAGTATTTAATTAAAACGGATCTTATTTGCATGGCGTTAAGATTCAAAATAACTTAACTTATTCATAATATCTGTTTAAAAATCTGATATTGTGCCTTGCTTGCCGTACTGCTCTAACTAGTGTAATATTTGTATCTCACGCGCTTTGTCGCTCAAAATCTGTTTAAAAATCTGATATCGTGCATTGCTTGCCATCCCGCTCTAACTAGTGAGTATTTATATCTCACGCGCTTTGTCGCTCGATATCTGAATCTGATATTGTGCATTGCTTGCCGTCCCGCTCTAACTAGTGAGTATTTATATCTCACGCGCTTTGTCGCTCGATATCTGATATCGTGCATTGCTTGCCGTCCCGCTCTAACTAGTAGGTATTTATATCTCACGCGCTTTGTCGCTCGAAATCTGTTTAAAAATCAGATATTGTGGGAAACGCGTATGATATCGCGATTCGTGTCCGTATAGCGAGCGAGCACGGTACATCAGATTTCGGAAATATCAGATATTGTAAAATACATAGATATTGAACGAGCCAGTAAGCGATATTCAGATATTGTAATAATACTAATATCTAGTTTTCATATCTGATACGATTTGTATCGCCCACTTCTAGTCAGCACTCATGCAGCACACATCATGGAGTAGGGGATGAGGACAGTATTTATGTCTTATCTATGGATGAGGACGAAGCCGGTCTCCTCTCTTACTCACTATACATTTTTCAGCCATGTTTTTTGGTTTTATTTGTATGTGTATGAATCGTAGCAGTGACTGTTGTACGTATTATTTTAATTTTTCTGTGCAACTCACACGTTAATTTTACTGTCATCGTAAATTTATCATTAGTTTCCAGTGCAATAATTATTTATTTACAATTTATTTTTCTCATAAAAACAGTTTTAACTCTCAGTTAATTAAGTGATATGATGTAAATAAACACGTGTTGTAAGCTCCAGCCAACAACGGCCATTACCACAGATAAGACATTTATATACTGAATATCATTCTGAATATAATATTATAATCTGCCATTACCGTAAGTGTATATATTTTGTACTTAACATTTTTTGGAAATAATAGTATAATAATAATAAATGTAGTGATTACATTCTCTTTGATAATAGTGGTAAATCAAAACGAAAACGTCTACGTGGATAATAAATATAGGTATGTGTTTTATTATTGTAAAGGTAAGAATAATAAGCAAATGAATTGTCAAAGTCATTGTTTTTCACCAATACACTGATAGAAGCATTTATTAACTACCTCTTAGTAATTTATTTAAAGACAATGATTTTATGTGTTAAATTCAAAATTATATTTTTTTTATTATTCAATAAATATTTATTTGGGAAGAAAATATATTTATTTTTGTTAATAAGTATTTATTAGTAGTTAACAAATATTTATGTCACAAATATTTTTATTATATTCAAACGAATATTTATAATTAATAAATATTTTTTTGAGTGAATTTATTTCGCTTGCAATGTCATATCATATGATATGAAGATTCCTTATAAAAAAAATCATCTTTAGAAATTATTTGTTTATATATTAATTATTTGTATATATATATATTTTTGTTTTTATATTAAAAACATTAACTTATTTTGTCAATTGAATTATTATCATGTATTTCAGCTATAGAGTTATAAAAGTGTTTAAAGAACTGCTAATATTGCTTTTTATATTAAATAAATATTTGTTAACAGTTAACAAATATTCATTAACCATAAATTTATTACCATTTTTTAAATTGTACTTAATAAATTACTGATTGGTTGTTATTAAATATTTGTATAAACAAAAAAAACTATATAAACAAATCTTTCTATCAGTTTAAGTATTTTAACTTCATTTATTTATATGTTCTATGTACAGTCAACAATGCCAAAAAAACGCAAAGGGGCTAATTTGAGTCGTCGAACGATCAATTGTAGAGCTGTACGAGATATAAGAGCACGAAGATCAAGCAAACAAATGCAAGAAAACAATGCAGATGTGAGTGTGAGAATGATGCAGTTACTAATGAATGATAAAAATATTTTATTACTTTTTTCGCTTTGTTTGTTTCGTTTTGTTTTATGTCAAAAGTTGCCAAACGAGCAGACGGTTCACCTGATCTTAAGTGAATACCGCCGCCCATAGACATCTGCTACACCTGAGGTTTTGCAGATGCGTTGACAACCTTTTTGGAAATTGGGCTCCGGCTACCTCACTCACCAGACGAAACGCGAAATTATTTATCATACTTCCACTTTACGCCGGTCTTCTGTGAGGTCGTGGTACATACCCGGACGAGCCTGCCCATTCGTGCAACAGCCGAGTCTGCTGCGTGGCTCTACCACCGTCAATGCTTAAAATTTATTCTATGCTACTGCTATTGTATGCATTTTCACAGACACTAAGCCGGTTCCCAGACTCCTAGACATGTGTGGAAATGCTTGTTAAAATATTTTCCCAATAAATGAACTGAATCTTTCAGTTTTGCTATTTTTTTATGATTTTTATTTTATTTGATGTTTTACGGGTATTAACTTAAGCTTTAGGAACAAATATTTTTAAGAATTGGTAACACTGTTTGACAGATTAATTATTAATATGTTATCAGTATATTTAATTTTATCATTATTAATTTTTTCCAAGATTTCTGGTGATGATGTGTGATATC